TTTTAAAAACAACCAAAAACCCCCCCCCCCAAAAAAAAAAAAAAAAAAAAAAATCAATCAACCGCCGGATCTCTGCAAGTGCTTAAAGACATTTCATGAAATAAGTAAAGACTTCACTATTGCTGTGAACAAAGAATGTTTCATTTTGCAAACATACAAAAAAAAAAAACAAAACAAAAAACACACACAATTCTTCCATGCCATATTTTCTGTCACAGTTAGTCCTTGTACACAGTTTGCTGGCCGTGTCCTCTCTCGTCATGCATTATGTGCCTCCTTACGTGGATCCTGCGTACCCGTCTGTCCCCTCCCGCTGCGCCCTCCTCCTCTGATTGGCCGGCTCCGAGCGATGAACCCGAGCCTCTAGAATCTAAAAGGTGCAACCCTCCTGGACCGGATCGGTTGTTCTCATAGATGAGGATGTTGAGCGTTTCTTCAAATATCCGCGCTTCGGGAAACTCAACCTAAAAACATGAATATGATTTATTTTATATGAATGCCCCCTTTTTCATTTCTATGATATTTCCTCTTTTAAGTTACTCTTTTAAATAATGCTTTGTTCACTTTTACTTTGGGATATCAAAGTTAAAGGGGGCTAAATACAAAAGTGAACCATACTCAAGATTTTTTTGTTTTAAAAAAAAAAGAAAATCCCTTTGAATCAAATACTTTGTCTTGAATAGTATCCAGTATAAGGATTTCTTTACAAGAAATTATTGTGCTGTGCAATTAATCAATGTTTGTACTTGCAACGTGACAAAATGTGAACATTTTGCAAGAACTGAACACATTTTTAACAACTTATTCTAGTGAATACGTCGTCTTCCAGAACATGCAACGACAGCTTTGAAACCTGTCACACAAAGCTTACTTTGGTCTGCTTCTTCTCCGTTGCGTACACAATGGAGGTGCAGCACACTTCTGCGATCTTGCGGCCTTCGCCGTAGAAGGACCAGCAGCAGATCTCGTCACCGAGCACGTCTTTCACAAACAGGACACGGTTGTTGAATCGGAGCACCAGTTTGTCAAAGAGCTCGATGTTCTTCAGCAGGTTGTCATCGGAGTTACTAGTGACAGGACGAAATGACAAGATGGAGAGTAATCAGAATAATCAGCAATGTAGATCTAGAAAAACAAAAAACAAAAACATGTTCAGTGAGTGTTTTTACCTAGTATACGAGTATTTGTTATTTCCCCTGTTGTTTTGGAGCTTGACTACTGGCTGCAAGTAGAAAACAAGAATACATGAGGCAAAGTGTATCAGATTTCTGTAATGACAACAATATATATATAAAAAAAAAAAAACGATTAAGCTGAAAATTATTTTAAGAAATGAATAATACAGTGCAAGTAAGTATATTTCCTACAGGATTTCTGTTTGATCATTCATCATTTAGACTTAAGTTACCTTTCTACATGTAGCGATCATCTTCTGCTCTTCTTTGGCTGATGTGATCATTGGGATGCGGCACACGCTTTCGAAAACATCTTGTTGTTTCTAAAAGTAAAAGACAAAAAATAAAATGTTTTTACATATGTAAGAAAAAGATGTGTAAATTTCTTCATTTATAATAATGTGCATGAGACATATCTATTACAATACATAAAAACAACAAAAACAAAAAAAAAAAAAACTCAAGTCTTCACACTTAAAAAACCTAAGTAAAAATTGATATGAAAAATAAAACCCATAACTTAAATTTACAATTCATCATTACATTTCTAATAAGAGGAGACAAAAGAATAAGATCTACGTAAATGTTAAAATAATAAAATAAAAGCTGCTTGTTGGTTATTAGAAAGTAAATAACGATTACCTGTTACTAATTATTTCAGCATCTATTCCAGACTTCATATTTTGTTAAAAATAAAATTGCATTTAAATTGTGAGTCAGATTAATTGAAGCTAACTAAACTAGTTAGGGCAGATTAGATGAGCTCATTGACAAACTTGTTTAAAATTAATTTCAAGCTCATTTTAAAATCTCCATTTTTCACGTCAATAACTAAACATGTAAAAATCTCAATTCTTCTAATTACCTGCATGGCATTGAGGCAGTGTTGGATTAGTCCTTGTACCCTGTAGAACTGGGCCTCCTTCAGGATCTCATCGAGTTCTCTGTGGTCTTCTGGAAGTGGTACCGAACCATCTCGCAGGAAGTTCAACACCAATCCAAAATGTCGACCGGACCTTTCCAAAACCACCCAACCTAAGGCAACAGGAACATTTCTCTCAGACAGTGATATGTCTCTGCAAACTGCAGAAAAATAAACAGATTCGCAAACAGGGAAAAGAATAGACTGTAATACAGTTCCAACACATTTTTTTTTTCAGTGGATCAGGTCACATTGGACCAGCAAATAAGGACATTAGACAATATCATGTGCTGTTAGAGGAGCAGCTGTCAGACACACATCTACTGACCTTCAGGGTCTATGGTAACATTTGTTGCGCCAGTGCAAATGCTTCGCAGAAGACTGTCTTCTTTGCTTAGCGTCTGGATGGTTGTATAATGCAGGGAGCCGCCAACATTTAACTTGACATATTTGCTCCCCATCAGACCCGGTGTTCTGTGCCCGTCTGTGCTGTGGCAGGCAGGCTGGGGAACAACAGACCGGACGGAGTCGGCATCATGACCTCCGACTGAAGCCTCCGCAGACATGGGGCTGTGGGCTCGCTTCCCGACTGCAGCACAGAAGGACAGGCTAGCTTATTTCCTCCGCCATATTAAACCACAAAAAACAAGGCAGGTGAGTGACAGTGAAGTTTGGATGATGACACTACTTTAGCTGATTTCAGAATTTTTTCCCCCAGGTTTAGAAAGTTGACTTTTTAAGATCATAGTTATTTAGATCCAACATGAAATAGACAAATAACTTTGATTATATATTTTTGATAATAGAAAATCATCAAAGAAGCAATTATAAAACAAAAGCAGGTAACATCCCTGAAAGATACACTTTTCTGAGACATCATAACAAATCATTTCTGTATACAATATAATAATACAGTACAATAACTTGATCTACCTCAGTTAAATTACTGTGTTTTAAACTGCATAGAAATAAATCATCATATGGCCTTATCAGTCGTCAGATCTGAGTAAAGTAAAGGCTTATATATACTCTTCATCTGAATACATTTTATCTGTAATTGAGATTAATTCGTTGTTTTTTTTTATTTGGAAAACAATTTTTAGTCTCGGTCTTTATTTTATGTGGAATATTAATCTCTTAGTTAAAATGTGCACCTTAGTTTCCAGCGTGATAAATAAATACATTACAGAACCAACTGATGTCTAGATACGAATCAAATGTAAACACGCAATTAAATCTAGGCTATTTATGTTAGAACATACTCACCACGTCGAACATCCAAGGGTGCTAAAGAGTGAAAACTCTGTGCGTAGCGATATCAGGAAATTATTATCAGCTAGCATAAACAAGCTAATTAACACACAAGCATTTACACCGCAGCTAGTAGCACAATCATCATTCTTTTTTTTTCTTTTTTCTTTTTACCGCAACCACCTTTCCAAATAAACAAGCTAACAGCGACTACTCTATTTACATTCACTTCATGCTAACAGATGTATTTTACTGAGTACCGCTTCATCTGTAGTGAACAGTCTAAATTAACTTATTAAAAACCAAAATTACTATGTCAACTGAGGCTATCCCCATTGTTTCAGACGCTGATTATCAACGGATGCTAATGTGAGAAGCTAAATAGGTCACTCGGAAATGAAAAACAAGACAATCCTCTTCCGCTGCTTTCTGCAGTTCGAACGTGAATTACTGCCACCTGCTGGCTGGTCTTATTAATGTCAATCTCAGGTGCTGAGTCTGTTATGATTGTCTAATCTTTATTGATGTAAAATCAGAGGAGAAAAAACGTAGAACAAAGACTCATAATTACATCACATTTTGGAAAATTTTGCTCTGAAAGTATCTTGACATGAGGAAGGCAATTTGTGATTACGTGGTGAATTTAGGTTTTCCTGCCCCCATGTGGTTAAAATTGGAAACTGTAACATCATCATTTTTCATCGGATTAACTTTCATAGCACACAAGAAACTGCGTTGGCTCCTTTCTGACACCAAATATTATTTTTCAAGTATTTGTTATCTATTTTCCGGGACATACCCCCCCTCCCCCAACCCCTAAAAAAAAAAAACAAAAACAAACAAAAAACAAATCAAACAAATAAAAAACACACACTTTTCCTGGTTTCCAAATATGACGCAATAGAGATCCATGTACTATGGACAAGATGACATGTCATTCAAGTATTGCAGATATACTTTGATTTTTTTTCTTAAGTCAGAAAATATAAAACAATAGCTGCTTGCTTAACCTTGCACGTCTACATGGAACCAAAACAAAGTATGAGTTTTATGAGGTGTAACACAACTTGAAATAAATAATAAAGTTCTAATTATCATCTTGCCGCAGGATAACTATAGGGGTAAAAAAATAAATAAATAAATAAATAAAAATAAATATTTACTGTTAGAAAACTAGAGTGATCTTAGTCTCAGTACATCTTGGGTTTCCTAAATCTCAAAAACAACAAATAAATGCTATTGCTATCTATCCATGTTTTAGAGGAATGTCAAGAAAAAGACCTGGGAAGAAATGCAACTAAGTATTTATTGTGAAATGAAACTGATTAAGTTTTCACCAACAGACACTCCAGGTAGGTCTGGCATAAAACAAAGTATAAATATCTCAAAAGTGTCTCATGTCCTCTATTATGTTTGGTGACTGACATTTGGTGCAGTGAACCCGGTTCTCTCCCAAAGAATCCTGTTAGGATGCATGAAACACCAAAACATGAAAAAGCTGATGCACTCGGGCGGAAAAACTAAAAATGGGCTGTTAGGTCTTTCAACAGGATAATGATGCCAAACATATCAGAATATACTGTTGCAATGTTTATCCAAGTCCTTTTATCCACATCTTTCCCAGGAGAGTCAGCCGTTAAGTATATAATAGAATATATGGAATAAATCCATAAATCATTTTAATGTTTCTTCCACATTGTCAAAAAGACACTACTTTATTTACTTATTGTGTGTTCACATGTGAAGTAGGAGTCCCAGTTATGTCAAAAATGAAAACACACTTGCGCACTCGTCACACCATTCAACAAAGACTTTATTTTCAATTCTGCAAATGATTCACTGTCTTCAAAAGTGTATTTATATATGAAGCAAAGAAATGTCGCTGATGATCATAGAAGATTTAAGTCAACAAATCAACAGTCTCCACGAATCCCTCATTTGGCCCAGTGAACGTCTAAAATTCACTGTTCAAACAATCGTTTATAAATAAATACATAATGCGCATCACAGCAAGCGGCAAGATTTAAAGTTTCTCATCAACGTAGTGCATACAACATCAAATTTGATAACAATGATACCTGCCAGTAACTATAATGTTAATGTAAGAGATTGAGCAAAAGCAATATAATTTACAATCAGTGCATGCTCGAAGCGTAATGACATTCATGTCCTCACCTTTGCTTATACAGTATGTGGTGCGACAGATTGCAGATGACGGCAGGAACAGCGAAGAATAAAATAAACACTGCCTTTGTAAACACTAATCCAACAACGGATGAAACACTAAGAGACATTAAATTATTTAACATTATATTTTGGCACAGAACTTTCATTATGTGTATATAATGAAAATATATAACCTCCTGCCACCAAGTGTATATATTAAGTCAGATATTTACATTCAAATAGTGTGAATTTGTTACAACCTGTGAGAAAAAAAGGAAGGAGAAGTTTATTGTTTTAAAAGAGGTTTTTTTTTTCACTTTGCTGCAAAACTCTGAAACATAATATGAGTTGCTTTATAAAGTAAAAACAAATATTAAGCATTTTTTAATAGGACCATGAACATAACTTTAGATTGTTTCAACTGAAGTATTGCCATGCTCTCTAATGTTTTAGCTTTGTAACAAAATAATAACTGAAAACAAAAAGAATTCCCCCTTTTTTCATTTACATTGTCTTTGCCTACAATTTTTTTTTTAGAAGTCAATTTCTTATCCTTCATAAGGCACCAGTCCTAATAACACAGAAAGTTACACTATTACCCGGGTCTCACTTTTGGCAGATGAAACACAATCAATATAAAGTAGTTACAAACTGCGATGGTAAAAAAACCAACAAAAACAAAACAAAACACAAGAATAAAGAAAAAGCAAGTAATATAGGGGGAGTGAGGCCTTTTCATACAAAAAGACTTTGTCTTCTTCAAGAATTTAATGCTTCGGTGGTTTTATTTCTCACCCAGAAACGCTCTTCTTCAAATGGAGACTTCATACTCCCGCGTGTCCTGTGATCACATTAGAAACAAACTGATTACGTTAAGCTTTGAAACTGGGGACATTTAGAGACTGAGAGCGAAATGAACAAATTTCATTGAGTGATGGCTCCTTTACTTACTCCCGCTTCGTAGAGAGGGTTGTTGAAATCCGACTCGACGGTAATGGGACTGTAGGAGTGTGTGTGAGAGAGAGATTTCCAGAAGAGAGGCTTCCATTCTAGTCTGCAAATGCTACAAGAGACAAATGCGCTGAGTGAAAAAACTGAGGCACAGAACTAAAAAACGCAGTATTAAATCTAAGAATACTCCAGAATGGAAATCCAAAACTATGAAAACTCTATGGATAACAGTATTATAAAATTATATAAACATGTTATATATATATATATATAT